TGGAAGGCAGAGCTACAGAAAAAGAGTGGCAGAGATAGACACCGAGATGTTCCATCCGCTGGTTCACTCCCCAGATGGCCACAACAGCCAGGGCTGGGACGGGCTGACGCCTGGGGCTGGGAGCTTCATCGGGGTCTCCCACATCAGGACAGGGCCCCAAGCACTTGGCCCGTCCTCTGCTGCCTTCCCAGGCGCGTTAGCAGGGAGCTGGATCGGAAGTGGAGCAGCTGGGACTCGAACTGGCACCCATATGGGATGCCGGTGTTGCCGGTGGCAGCTTTACCAGCTACGCCGCGGCTCTGGCCCCTGTAACATGCATTTTCCATGCACTTTTTGACAAGCCGTGTAGGATGCTGCAGGATTTTGGTCAGGAATGGAATACAGTAAAGAACGTTGGGAAAAATTGAAACAGAGTGCTCATTCACGCTCTTCCCTTGAACAGAATGACGAAACGTTTCCTGCAACAACTCTGCAAGCAGCACAAGCTTTACGTCACCCCAGCGCTGAACGATTCGCTGTACTTGCACTTTAAAGGTGAGCCTTCACGCTGTACTTACACCGTACAGTGAGCCTTTACACTGTACTTAGACTGTACAGGTGAGCCTTCACGCTGTACTTACACTGTACAGTGAGCCTTCACGCTGTACTTAGACTGTACAGTGAACCTTCACGCTGTACTCACACTGTACAGGGGAGCCTTCACGCTGTAATTACACTGTACAGTGAGCCTTTACGCTGTACTTAGACTGTACAGGTGAGCCTTCACGCTGTACTTACACTGTACAGGGAGCCTTTACGCTGTACTTACATTGTGCAGGTGAGCCTTTACGCTGTACTTAGACTGTACAGGGGAGCCTTTACGCTGTACTTACACTGTACAGTGAGCCTTTACGCTGTACTTAGACTGTACAGGTGAGCCTTTACGCTGTACTCACACTGTGCAGGTGATCCTTTATGCTGCACTTACACTGTACAGTGAGCCTTCACACTGTACTTACACTTACAGGGAGCCTTTATGCTGTACTTACACTGTATAGCTGAGCCTTTATGCTGTACTTACAACTGTTCAGGGAGCCTTTACCCTGTACTCACACTGTACAGTGAGCCTTTACGCTGTACTTACACTGTACAGGGAGCCTTTACGCTGTACTTACACTGCACAGTGAGCCTTTATGCTGTACTTACACTGTACAGTGAGCGTTTATGCTGTACTTACACTGTACAGGGAGCCTTTATGCTGTACTACACTGTGCAGGTGATCCTTTACGCTGTACTTACACTGTACAGGGAGCCTTTACGCTGTACTTACACTGTACAGGGAGCCTTTATGCTGTACTTACACTGTACAGTGAGCGTTTATGCTGTACTTACACTGTACAGGGAGCCTTTACGCTGTACTTACACTGTACAGGGAGCCTTTACACTGTACTACACTGTGCAGGTGAGCCTTTACGCTGTACTTACACTGTACAGGGAGCCTTTATGCTGTACTTACACTGTACAGGTGAGCCTTTCGCTGTACGTACTCTGCTGCAGAGAAGCCTTTATGCTGGTACTT